GATTCTCATTTTTTTATGTATTTATTTTTTAGTTGTAGTTGGACACAATACCTTTATTTCACTTATTTATTTTTATGTGGTGTTGAGGAACCACACCCAGGGTCTCACATGTGCGAGGCAAGCGCTCTACTGCTGAGCCATAGCCCCAGCCCATGTTTTTTCCTTTGATTAGTGTAATACCTCCCTTTGCTGATTTTCATCGTTGGTTTTCAGTTCTTCATGGAATATTTTGCTAAGGATGTTCTGTAGGGTGGACTTTCAAGTTGTAAATTCTTATATCTTTTGTTTATCATAGAAGGTTTTTATTTCATCATCAAATCTAAAGCTTAATTTTACTGGATATAAGATTTTGGTTGACATCCATTTTCTCTCAGAGATTGATACATATTGTTCCAGGATCTTTTAGTTTTTAGGGTCTTTGTTGAAAAATCAGCACATAATCTAATTGGTTTCCCCCTATATGTAATCTGATTCCTGTCTCTTGTGGGTTTTAATATTCTCTCCTTATTGTGTATATTGGGCATTTTTATTATAACGTGCCTCAGAGTGGATCTGATGTGATTTTGTACATTTGGCATCTTGTAAGCCTCTTGAATTTAGTTTTCCAATTCATTCTTCATGTTTGGAAAATTTTCTGATATTATTTCATTGAATAAATTGCTTATTCCTTTGGTTTGAAACGCTATTCTTTCCTGTATTCCAATAACTATTAAGTTTGGTCTTTTTATGCTATCCCATATTTCTTGAATATTCTCCCCTTGTTTTCACTGTGTTGTCTACATTCTTTTCAAATTATATATTTTGTCTGAGTTCTTGTCTTTCAAGTGGTCTAATCTGTTGGTGATGCTTTCAATTGAGCTTTTAATTTAGTTTATTGTTTCTTTCATTTCAAGGATTTCTATTTTTTTTGAACTTCTATCTCCCTATTGAAGTAATCTTTTGCTTCCTGTATTTGCTTATGTAGCTCTTTGTCAAAATGATCTTTTGCTGCCTGTATTTGCTCTCTTATATCATCCTTCAATTTGCAGAACATTTTAATCATGTACATCCTGAACTCCTTCTCTGTAATTTCTTCTGTTATGCTCCCCATGGATTCTAATAATGTGGTATCTTGATATGTTTGGGGCACTCTCTTCCCTTGTCTTTTCATACTGCTTTTTTGTCTTCCATTATAGCACTGTGGATCTGAGGCATTGCTGTTTTTACCCTACAGGCTTATAGTGCTCCTGTAGGGATCCAGTACCTCTCCTTTGAGGTGAAGGACAATGTTATCAGATCCCAATATAAACAGTATACACTTTAAAAACAGATGTTTGCTATTAAGATGTTTACAGTTTGGTTACAATATACACAGAAATGGTGAATTCAATTATTATCTACAATATGGTCAGCAGGTTTGTAAAAGAGTTTATGTAAAAGTTTCTGATGGTGGACAAAGTACTAAGGGTGAGGAGTAGGATGATATGCTGAGGAGGTAGAGTTGTTAAGAGAAACCTAAAGAGGAAGATTAGTAACAGGAGAAGGGAGAGGAAGTACTTTTGGGTAAACAAGTAAGTGGGAAGACAGTAGAGTACATAAAACAAGCACACATATATTAGGAAAAAATAAACAAGTGTTAAAATAGTAGAAATTGGTGGGATAAAAGAAAAAAATATATAACTTTAATGTATTATATATATTTAGAGGACATTATTATATATATTTAGAGTCTCAGTCCTCAAAATCCTATTTCATGCAAAGTACTTGGTTTCACATATGTTGGGAATGTGAGCGCCAGAGAATAGAGGAGAGAGGAAAAAAAAATCTTTAAGGAAGAAATAGGATTGTTTCGGTTGGAGACTCGGATCTTTCCTGCCTCCCTTCTTATCCAGTTAGTGGGATCGTCTGTTGTTAGCTGCCATGTCTGCCCTTAGGATGGTGAAGGTAACCAGGGTGTCACTAAGCCAGGGTAGTGGCTGCTGGGGAGAGAGGTGTTGCCCCCATTGAAGATGGAGATGAAGGTGACTCAAGATGGAAGCACCTGCTTTCAGCAGTGGGCTGTCGGTTTGTATGTGGGGGGAGCTGAGTGATGCTGTTGGACTGTGAGTCAGAGAGGAGCTCTTGTGTCCTGCAGTGTGTGGCTCTCAGCTGAGCCTGTGTGAAGTTCCTGGGTGCAGGCTGGCCACTGCTGTAGAGTCCCAAGATTTCGGCGACAGGGGAGCCCTATGTTGGTAGATGGGGGTCCACACGGGAGTGATGGCCAGAGTTTTTGCATGTGGGAAGCTGCCGGGTGTTCTGCATTGGAGTGGTTTTGGTGGGTGGCCAAAAGTTCTGTTTGGGTGTTGATGGTGCCCACTGGGGTACCTGGTAGTCCTGTGTGGGCTAGTTGTTGGGAGACCTACTCTGATGCTTTGGCCTGGAGCCCATGGCACTGTGGCTGTGATTCCCTCGCGGGAGCAGGAATATTGCTTGCGGAGAAGCAGTATTCTCACTATTTGAGTCCCAGGTCATGGAGCAACACAGAGTGTTGCTTCCCTCTTGCCCACCATCTTGGATCCTCCCTTTGCAGCAGCATTTTAACAGTAAGCTTAACATGTTCAGTAAATCATGATGTAAACAATCTATTATTATCTAGGCTTTGTTGTTCTATTTTATAAAGCACAGGCAGAATAGATTAGTTCAAATTTTAAGGGTCCTAGCATTTTGGAAATGGTGAATTCAATTATTATCTACAATATGCCCAGCAGGTTTGTAAAAGAGTTTACAGTTTCTGATGGAGGACAAAGTACTGAGGGTGAGGAGTAGGATAATATGCTGAGGAGGTAGAGTTGTTATATCGTTGGAAGTGTAAAAGAGAAACCTAAAGAAACCTAAAGTCGCCAGCTACATTATCCCCTAACAGGAGTCAGCCTGTTCTTTGAAGCTTTGAAGTTAGGTAATGGCTTCTCCTTTTATCATAGCCAGCTATTTTGGATAAATTTACTGCAGCTTCTACACCAGTACATGCTGCTTCACCTGACCCTCTCATTTTATAGAGATAGTTTCTTTTCTTAAACTTTGTATACTACCTTCTACCAGTTCCAAACTTTTCTTTGTTGCTTCCTCACTTCTCTCAGCCTTCATGGAATTGAATGGAATTAGGGCCTTATTCTGAATCAGGCATTGGTTTAAAGGAATGTTGTAGGTGGTTTGATCTATTCAGACCCTTAAAATTTTCTCCATATCAGCATTAAGCCTATTTGATTACCATTCCTGTGTTCACTAGAGTAGTACTTTGAGTCTTCTTCAACAACTTTTCCTTTGCATCCACAACTTGGCTGATGAACATACGAGGCCTAGCTTTCAGTCTGTTTCAGTTTTAACCTTCATCATGCTGCTTCATCCTTTCTAGCTTTCAATTTAAATTAAGAAACACTAGACTCTTTCTTTTACTTGAATATTTTGAGGCCATTGTGGTATTATTAATAGACTTAATGTTGTATCAGGGAATAGGGAGGCCAGAGGGGAGGGAGAGAGATGGGAGAGTGGCTTTTTAGTGGAGCAGTCAGAACATACATAACATATGTTAGTTAACTTGGCATTCGGACATGGATATAGTTAGGGTGCCCCAAAACTTATAGTAACATTAAAGATAATTGATTACACATCACCATAACAGATATAATGAAAACAATTTGAAATATTGTATTACCAAAATGAGACATAACTATGAAGGGAGCACATAACATTGGGAAAAAATGGTACTGAAATTGACTTGCTCAATGCAGATTTGCCATAGACTTTCAGTTTGTAAAATAGGAAATATCTGCAAAGTGTAATAAAACAAAGTATGCCAGAAAATGTTAATTGTATTGCTTTTTAAATGTTTTTTTTATATAATTTATAAAACTATGTGTATCTTATATTTTATAAAATAAATTGAATCTCAGTGAGTTTATGTCTACTATTTAGCACATTTTAGTCACATTAGAATTCAAATAATTTGTGAGCTCACTTTTGATGAAGATATATTTTCTTCAAGAGTGTTCTTTCCATTATATTTAATTGTAGTTATTTTTCTTTTTACTTTGAGAAACACTAATTAGGCTAATGTACATTTTATAGATGAGGAAACCAGAAGTCCTGGGTAACATTATGAATATGGATTAAGATACAGCTATGTTTTCAACTCAGTTATGTTCAATTATAGTATTTGAAATTATTCTATACTAATTGATAGTTTTGGTTTTTGTGTACATAATCATTTTTTTTCCTTTGGGGACATGCATTGTTAATAATGAAGCTAAGCTGGGTATGGTAGCTCATGCCTGTAATCCCAGTGACTGGGGAGGCTGAGACAGGAGGATCACAAGTTTGAGGCCAGCCTTAGCAACTTAGTGAGGCCCTATGCAACTTAGTGAGACCTGGCCCCAAAATAAAAAGGTCTGGGGGATGTGGCTCAGTAGTTAAGTGTTCCAAGTTCAATTCACAGTACCAAAAAAAAAAAAAAAAGATGCTAAGAAAAACGTAATCTTTATATTTGTTTAATAGTTTATAATTTGCAAATACTTTCATTTTCATATTTTAAAAAATTATGGTAACCCTTGGAAGTAGACTGTAATTTCAATTTAATGGATGAAGGCTCGATGAAAGGTAAACAGTTTAGCTTAAGATCACACTGCTAGTAAATGCCAGAAATAGAATATGAGTATATTGTTTTTCAGTTTAAATTCTATTAGCATACTAAAGTAAATCTGAAATTTTATGTATTTTAATAACTTTTTTTTGATTGTGGCATTTATTTAAACATCTTCATGTCCGATTTTTTTCCCCTCTAGGTATTATATTTGCTGTTAGTAGTTTCCTTACACATTATATTTCAGACTTTTTATTGTTATAAGTTACATTTGTTAGGATGATAAACATCAGGTTCTTAAATTCTCTTAATCTGTGCATTCTGCTCTTTTTTATAATTTGTATCTCATTCTATAACCACAGTTCTTTGTTAATCGAGTGTGTTGTTTGATTTTTTTCTTCAATAGGTCCTGATTGCTCTTTCAATGTTCCTTCTACTGAGTCTTACTGGATTCTACCAAATGTTAAACCCTTCAGTCCATCTGTAGGTCGGGCTTCACATAAAGCAGTTTTACATGGGAAATTTATGTGGGTGATTGGTGGATATACTTTTAACTACAGTTCTTTTCAAATGGTCCTGAAGTAAGTACTCATTTTAAGATCTTCACAATTTTTATTTTTAAACTGGAATTTCTTTCTGTCCAAACATATAAGTGGTTATTTTGTAATGCTGAAAACTTGCTGAGTGGGACTGATTTGGGACTGTATGAACTGTTGTCGGCAGTTAATTATTTGTTATTGAGCATATAAGTTTGTTTTGTGTAGTTATTTCACTTTTTCTAAAACATTTTTAGTTAATTTTATGTAAGAAAATGCTACATAAAGGCGGGAGGTCTCTATGTTCAGCATAATAAATCTTGCTTTTTACTTTTCCAGGGTAAAGTGTAATTGTAGATATAAAAATACTTTTGCTTTTTTCTGTATAGTTTATCTGAACTTTTACTTAGTTGGTACTTTATAAATGTTTGTTGGGATAACAATGCCAGCAATTTAAAACAGATCATTTACTAACAGCGCACGCATGATAGTATTGTTCTTTGCATGATTGAGTGATAAAGGGAACCACATGGATGACAACTTTATCTGATTTCCTTTAAAGCCGATTATTGTATTTAGTAAGCTCTTTAATAACAGAATAGAAGAGGAAATACGAAGAATCATTTGATTATCAAAGTGCTCAGTGTTGATATTTGTAATATGTAATAATTGGCATAACTTGGGCATCAACAAGTCAGAACTGGCCCTAGATGATTTATCATAATGGTGTGTACCCAATAGAATTGTCAGTTTTTGCATATAAAGATATAGGACTGCCAATTACACATGAATTTCAGAGAGACAACAAATAAAATTTTAGTGTAAGAGAGAGAGAGAGAGTGTGTGTGTGTGTGGTTTTGTCCCAAATATTATATGATCATACTTATGCCAAAAGATTATTTGTTAATTATCTAAAATTCAGATTTAACTGGGCATCCTATATTTTTTTTGCCAACCCTACCCTTTAAATATGTTAGCCCTATTAATTTTGAAGATTTAAAAATTCTGAGTATAAGAGGAGTTTGCTTTAAAAGAATGATTGAGTATGAAAGTATAAAATAAATTCTGGAGAGAGAGGAAAAGTTGTAGTAAATATTTAAATGAAAAATTAGAATTCTGTAGCACAATACATGAAGAATAAAATACAGCTAAAAGTCTTGAGAGTTGCTGGGATAAAAATGAATTGTTAAGATATGAAATGACCCAGAGAAAATAGTGAGATTTAAATGTGGAAACTAAAAGGAAATGATCTATGATTTTTTTAAAAATGAAATGCCTACAAAATAGTTTGAACTTTAAATTAAAATTGTGTTATTCCCAAAGTTGAGTTATGATGACAACAAAATTGTCAAAGGAACATTGAAATCTTACATGTTCTATGCAAGTTGAATAGAGCGTTTCAGATTAAGTGATGAATATTATGATATTCTCTTAAACTTGTATATTTTCCATTTGAACCAGAGAGTTTAACTTTTTTGTATGTGTATATAATCTGGTTCTTGTGGTTACAGTGTTTACAGTATCTCTATGTACATGTAAAGATATAAACAATAAATATATATAAGTGTATACATATATATCTAAGCTTATATGGTTATAAGCTATGAATATCAGGTTAGAAATAAATTTGTTGCTCTTTTTACAGGTTAGAGAATATTTTTCATCATTCTGAATATAGTTCAAGTGTAGGTAAGGATATTTAAAAAGCTTTTAGAAGTGATAGTGTCAGTTATAATTTGATTTATTTTTTAGAGGAGACTTTTTTTTTTGGGTGCTAGGCATTAAACCAAGGGCTCTATATATGCTTGCCACAAACTGCCACTGAGCTATATACCCCAGCCCTAGAGTAGAATTTAATTGGGGTATAGATGTTACATTTAAGACAAAAGCATTCTGTAAATAATGTTAAAGTTCTGTATAGTGTATATTGAAATAGAAAAATACTATTTTAAAGAATACCTATTTATTAACATTAATGAAAATTGACATGTATTCCTGAGCATAACACACTTTTGAATATTTACCATGTACTTGGTACTTGGGATGTATTAGTGCATATAAGTGTCCTTATCTTTGTGAAGTTAATGAGGAAAGACTGGCAATGAAAAGATAAATCTTCTTACTGAACTAAATTATGTACATGCAAATATATACATAGCTAGATAGGGAGGTAGGTAGATAGCAGGATGAGTTAATCTGGAATGCCACAGAGGAGGGATCACAATTATAAATATAGCGGTCAAAGTAGGCTTCATGAGAAAGGTGAAAACTAGGTTGGATCTTGGAGAAGGTCAGAGTATTGGCACTGCAGTAATTTGTAAGTGCAGAAAGGAGCCAGACCTGGGCCTCAAGGAAGGAGCTTTTTGAAGTATTTGAAAAGGAACAAGGAGGCCATGTGATTGGTGTTTGTGAGAGGGGAACATGAAATTAGGATAATAGCAGAGATAGATCATGTAGGTTGTTTTAGGTTTTTTGGGAAGGTTTTTTGTTGTGTGGGGTTTTGTGTGTTGCCTTAAGCTTTGAAATAGAGTCATGGTGGCCACACACAATGGCTTCTAAATATTCAAGTGAAAGGAAGAGTCTCCTGTCTCTTGATTTAAATTGAAAGCTAGAAAGGATGAAGTAGCATGATGAAGGTATGTCAAAACTGAAACCGACTGAAAGCTAGGCCTTGTGTGCTAGTCAGCCAGGTTGTGAATACAATGGAAAAATTCTTGAAGAAGACTCAAAGTGCTACTCTAGTGAACACAGGAATGGTAATCAAATAGGCTTAATGCTGATATGGAGAAAATTTTAGGGATCTGAAGAGATCAAACCACCCATAACATTACATTCTTTTATTCTCAACTGTTGAATTTATGAGATTTTGGAGAAAGAGTAGAAAGTGGGATTCAGTTAAAATGGAATTATTAAAGGAATGAGTTTTAAAGAAGACAATGAAGAACTGAGTCTGAGACTCCATATCATTGGAAGATTGGGGATAAGAGGAGAACTCAGCAAAGGAGTGAGAGAAGTGACCGGTGAGATGGGAAAACCAAAAGAATGCAGTGTCTTTGAATGCAAGGGAAAGAGTACAGGTGGACTACGGAGTAACTAAAGGTGTCAAATGCTGATGATAAACCAGGTCAAAGAAAATGAGGACAGAAAAGTGACCATGGATTGGACATGAGGAAGTTGAATTTACCAAAAACGTTTTCTCTGCAGTGGTGGGCCTGGCTAGAGTTAGTTTAAGAGAGAATGGAAAGATAGGTGGGGTGGGGACAATAAAGGAATGGGGCAGCATAAAAGCAGGGTCGTAGCTTGAAGGGTGAGTGAAGTCAAGTGATTTTTTTTTTTTTAAATAACACAATATTTGTATGCTGATGACAATGATCTAGTAAGACAAAGGGTGATGTAGGGAAGAGATGAGGGGACTCCTGGAGTGTTGTGGGATCTATGCACGAGAAACAAGAATAGCTCATTTATAGCAGGGATCAGTGAGTTGGGGCCTAGGGCCTGAGACCTAGGAAAGGATTTTTTTTTTTTTTTTTTGCATTTTAATAGGTTGTAAAACATGTTCTATGAAACCAATGTGGCCTGCAGTCCCTAAAATATTTATTGTCTGATTCTTCATAGAAATAGTTTGCCAAGCAATAACTTTCAGTAACAATGGGAAGCAGCATGTTGGCTGCAGATGCTGATAGGCAGGTAGATTTGGTGGTAAGTCTCTGTGGGACCTATATTTTGGCATATTTTGTCATTTATGTCTTATCTTGTAATTCAAACTAGGAAACAATGCTGAAAACCATTTTGGTAACCTTTCTTGTGAAGGGACAGTTTTTTGCTTTGCCTGATGAGTTGGAGGCAGAGAAGTGGGAGAGAACAGTTTATATTGATCTTTTTGAAGGAATACCCTGTTTCTTCGCTTGGTGCTTCCTCTCATATGTGTTGGCAAATCAAAATTTGAGGGTAAGCCAGGTATGGTGGCACATGCCTATAATCCCTGCTACTTGGGGAGTTGAAAAGGGAAGTTTGAAGCCAGCCTGGGCAACTGAGCAAGACCCTGACTCAAAATTTAAAAAAAGGAAATGTAGCAGCTCAGTGGTAGAAAACTTCTGAGTTAAACTGCCAGTACCACCAAAAAAAAAAAAAAAGGTTTGAGTTTATACTACTGTACTTATTTTACAGAATTCAAAAAGTTATCAGTGAGCAAAATATATTTTTGCAAGGAAATATATGCTTCTTGGTTAATTCATAAGCTAAGTTAAGCATGTATGAAGAGTAATGTGAATTTCTAAAGTAAAAATGGAATTTTCATGTTCTTCCAAGAAAGCTGGCTTTTAAAATTTAAAAATATAGAATAACTTACTATTTTTTAGGTTAATTGGTTGAAATTGCTAAAGGTAACTAGACAAATTAATTCTAGTATTGAATATTCTACTTAAGTTAATATACCTTTAAGTGAATGAATCTAATTTAGAGTAGGTATTTCTTGACTGAAGTTTTTATTAAAAATTTTTAATATGGCATTTGAAATTATGAGTTTACTGTAATTATTTTTTAGTTTTATGAGAATTTAGATACAAATGAAGAAAAGCATATGCAAGTCATAAAACTGAAAATCAATCTTAATTTAAGAAGTTATTTTATTTTCTTATTTTTAGTTACAATTTAGAAAGCAGTATATGGAATGTAGTAACTCTGTCAAGGGGACCTCTTCAGAGATATGGACATTCTCTTGCTTTATATCAGGTATGGCTCTGCTTTTTAAGTTAAGTTTTTTTTTTTTTTTCTCAGAATTTACCTTAGAGTAGAAAGTCTCAAATTTCAGATTTATTTCAAATATCTAATGAGGATAGTAGATCATAATGGATCACAATTATTTAAGATGTCTTGGACCTTATATTATTTTAGGAAAAGAGTAAATTTTTAATACATTTGAACATGTAAAGAAATAAGGATTGAGTTTTGTACATGGCTTTATGTCTAATCATCAGATTAATCACTTTTTAAAAATTGTGGTAAAATACATAAAACATAAAGTTGGCTATTTTAAGTATTTTGAAATGTAGAGTGGTATTAAGTACATTCACATCATTGTGTAACTATCACCATCGTTGTCTCTAGAACTTTATTCATCTTGCAAAATTGAAGCAATAACTCTTCATTCTCCTCTTCCCCCAACCCTTAGAAACTAGCAGTCTGCTTTGTGTCTGTGTGAATGAATTTGACTATTTCGGGTACCTCATGCAGGTGGAAATACATAGCATTTATCCTTTTGTTATTGGCTTATTTCCTTGAACATAGTCTCTTCAGCATTTATCCATGCTATAGCATGTATCAGAATGCCCTTTTAAAAAACTGAATAATATTTTGATATATGTATATATAATAGTACTAATATATTTGTGTATATATACACATATATACACACATACACATGTGCACACACATATACATACATATAACAACCACATATTTTAAAATTCATCTGTATGTTGTTAGACTTTTAGATTGCTCGCATTTGTTGACTTTTGAGATTAAGATATGTGTACCTACAACTGAGTCTCTGCTTTCGGTACTTCTGGGTGTATGCTCAGAAGTGGAATTCCTGGATCACATGGTAATTCTTTCAGGTAACTTTTTCAGGAATTACCATATTGTTTTCTACAGTGGCTGCACATTTTACATTCCCACCAGCAGTGAACATGGGTTCCAATTTGTCTACAGCTTTCATAACACTTAATATTTTCCAGTTTTTTTTTTTTAATAATAGGCTCCTTAATGAGTACAAAGTATGTGCTTTTGATTTGTGTTTACAGAATAACGGTGATATTGTGTAGTTTTTAAGGGCTTATTGATCATTTATATATCTTCTTTGAGAAAAAAGATATATAAATATAAATTCAAGTCTTTTGCAATTTTTTAATAAGTATTTTTTGCCCTTTAGTTTTAGGAGTTTTTCTTATGATATTACCCCTTAACAGATATGATTTAAAAATAGTTTCTCCTCTCCTGTGATGTGTCTTTTTGCTCTGTTGACAGTGTCCTTTGATGCTTTTTTTTTTTTAATGGTGCTAGGATTTGAACTCAGGGCTTTGTCCATGCTAAGCATATTCTTTACCACTGAGCTATATCTTTTTTTTTAATATTTATTTATTATTTTAGTTTTCGGTGGACACAACATCTTTATTTTATTTTTACGTGGTGCTGAGGATCGAACCCAGTGCCCCGCGCATGCCATGTGAGCGTGCTACTGCTTGACCCACATCCCCAGCCCACTGAGCTATATCTTTAACTTAATTTTGTGATTTTGATGTAGTTTAATTTATCTATTTTTTTTCTTTTTGTATGATATAAAATACATCTTTGCCAAATCCAGCATATTAAGATTTTTCTTTAAGAGTTTTAAAATTTTTGTTCTTATGTTTATGTCTTCATTTCATTATGAGTTAATGAAATGAAGACAGAAAAACTTAACTTTTCCTTAGATTCCCTTTATCAGATTGAATAAGTTTCCTTCTATTTTATTCCTAGTTTGTTGAAATAGTGATGATTTATATGTCATTTATATGTAAGTGAAATTATTTGTAAGTGCTGTAAAAATTACCATGGGTGAATCGAAGGTATGAATATTTTCTAATAGTCATGAGAAAATGTTAATGAAAGTATATTCTACATTATGTACAAATGTGATCTTTTTTGGTGAATAGTACTCAGTGTAAACAGTGAATAATCGAGAAGAGCATACAGCAGTACAAATAGATGGTAAAATTCAAGTTTAATAAGTGGGGGTTCTGATCATTCAAAGCTTCCAAGACTGAGTAATGAAATGAACAACTTAGTGTGTTACTTTCCTGTTGTATGTGAGGAATAAATTATTCTTAGTTATAGAGCTACTATACCCTTAATTTTAAGGTTCTGATCAGTTGGCTGCATTTTTCATTCTGAGAACTTTGAATTTAATTATCCTGTAGGATAATTTAAAATATGGTTAATTGATCATATAGTACAACCATTTAAAATAAAGTGCCTTAAAGTAACTTTTCAAAAGCAAGATACATACCCTCCTTTTGTGTGTGAAAACTTTAGTTATCATTATTTGTGTGTTCCTCACTTGACGTTTTACAAATAATAACTATGCCTTATAGATGTGTGAATAGTTAATGAACTGTAATGTTTAATTATAGTCTTTGTTTTTAATTAATGTGTATTGCTGAGACTTACCTATTTTGTCTATTAACATATGTATTTTAATTTACAGGAAAACATCTTTATGTATGGAGGCAGAATTGAAACAAATGATGGCAATGTCACAGATGAATTATGGGTTTTTAACATACCTAGTCAGTCATGGAGTACAAAAACTCCTACCGTTCTTGGACATGGTCAGCAGTATGCTGTGGAGGGACATTCAGCACATATTATGGAGCTGGATAGTAAAGATGTTGTCATGATCATAATATTTGGATATTCTGCAATATATGGTTATACAAGCAGCATACAGGAATACCATATCTGTGAGTTTCTTTAAAAATGTAATTTTTTTATTGGTTGAGAATATTATTATTTTAAATAAAATCTTCACATGAATTTCGTCAAAATGGTGATTTGAGATTGGAATTATAAACTGAGAATTAATGATTTTTAAAATATGACCTTTTTAATTGTTTTAGATTTTGTCCTTTGCTATTTTAGTTTATCTTCTTAGCCAAATGAGGAAAGTTGTTACACACTATTCTAATTTCCCAAAATCTCAAAATATTTTTTAAATATGAGAGAACCCAGTAGATGGTGCTGTTTCCTTGGATTTTATATATGAACAGAGAATGAAAGTAGCCTAATATTTTTACTATGCATTCCATGATTTCAGGACTTTTCATTTTTCAGCCCTCTGTTCCTAATCTTATTGCTATATCTGTATGTATATATTTCTCCTTTAAAGTAAGCTTCCCAAGTATACTGTGCTGGTTTCTTAGAGATTATTATCAGGTCTATGAAGGTGACTAGGACAATCTTCATGTGACTTTCTGTACTATCAACCTAGTTTTTTTGTTTTTTTTTTTTTTGCTTTTCTGTTTTCTATTGCAATTTTTATGGCATTTTCAAGCAGTGGTAACCTTTTTTTAAAATGTTTTTAAATTTGTTTACAAATATGTACCCTGTGGTTGCTATTTAGGTTCAAGAACATACTCCATTACTGATTCTAGCCAGTGTAATGAACCTCAAGTACTTGAATTTTTTTTTTTTTTGTACAAATGTATCTGATTAAAGAGTTTCTGTACAGTGTTAGAATACTCATTTGTGCTCAGAGGAAGACTCCTCTTCCCAGTTTCCCCTGCAGTTCTTTTAGGTGATGATTGTTTTACTTCTATGTCCTCAGTGCAGTTGGGTTGAAAGTGGGGAATGTATCCTTCTTAGTTTCTCTTATCATTTCCACTCTGTTCTCAATCTCTCCTCCTGTAAATCGCCTGGCTTTGAATCTTGTGTTGCCAGGCCCTAAACCTTTTTCTTTCTTTCTTTCTTTTTTTTTTTAAGTTGTCATGGACAAAATACCTTTGTTTTATTTATTTATTTACTACTGAGTATTGAACCCAGTGCCTCACACATGCTAGGCAAACGCTCTACCACTGAGCCCCAACCTCGACCCCTTACCTTGCCTTTTTGCACTCATCTTTTGCTTTTCAGATCACTTTGTTTTATATCTTGAAGAATCGAGTTTCTGGCTCACTGTCACTCTGTCCAGCATATATAAATCAAATATTTTTATGATTTAAAAATATCCACATAAATATTTCTTCCAATAGTCTCTTACTTTATTGATCTCTATCCTTAAGCTCTTGTTTTCCATTCTACTTGATCCATTTTTTTCCCTATGCCATACTCTTGACCTTGTCATTCCAGAACCTACAGGTCCCATGCTGTGTACTTCAGATGTCTTCCCTTTCAAGCACTACCAGCTTCCCCTTTCTAGCACTCACAGTCTTACAGGTTCTGGGCCTTTCTAGAGCCTTTAGTCCATGAACCTCTTTTCACTTTTTCCACTTTCTCAAGTTGGTCCTTCATAATGTCTGAAAGTCTTTTTAGTCTACTTTGGTCACCCAACTCTTCTGGAGAAATATACATTTTCCTTGCTCTTCAAACTTCCAGCATTTTCTTCTTTATCACCACTTTCAGCTAATGATCTTACTTCCTAAGTACTGAGAAAATAGAAGTAATCAAAAGAGAACCTGTACTTATGGGAGTATGTTGGAGTGTAAAGATTAATAAGCAGAGCTGCATTGCCTGAGCTTGCTTATATTATTGTCATGACCGGCTCATGATGACCCTGAAGCAAACACAGTTGAGTTACTCTGATTTTTCAGGTGAGCCTGGGAGTTGAGTTATTAGTCGAGAATTACAGCCAGGTGCAGTGGCGCACACCTGTAATCCCAGTGGCTCAGGAGGCTGAGACAGGAGAATCATGAGTTCAAAGCCAGCCTCAGCAACTGTGAGGCGCTAAGCAATTCAGTGAAACCCTATCTTTAAATAAAATACAAAATAAGGCTAGAGATGTGGCTCAGTGGTCGAGTACCCCTGAGTTCAATTCCCAGTACCCCACTCCCCCCAAAAAATTACAAACTTTTTTCAGAGAAGGGCTGTTTTGTTTTCTGATATACTGTATTTTGGTTTTTTTTATAGCATTTAAGGAATATTGTAGGTATTAGTTCTACTTTTTTGTAATGTAGTGACATTTATGTGTGGCTCAATTTTCATAAATATTCCATAGGTTCTTGAAAAGAAGGCAAATTCTGTAACATCATGCAGGTTAATAGGTACATACGTAATCTACTTTATTGCTTATATTGTATAGGTTCTGTAATACTTTTTGTGCTTGATCTTTTTCTGAAAGTCTTAAAATATTAGCCTATTTCTGTCTATTTCTCCTTGTATGTTCTTTAATTTATGCTTTATTGAAGTTGGTGTTATCAACAGATATTAATAACTTATGTGTTTATTGTGAATTGTATCCGGTTGCGTTTTGACGTGATTTTCTTGCTTAATGCTTTTTGATCTGAGTTCTGGTATATCTGAAATTCATATAAAATGCCCCTGCTTTGTCAGTCTTTTCTTGGTGTACCTTTGTCCATTCCTTTACTAATATATCTACTATTTAGTGCTTCAGAATCACTTTGTTCTATTAAATTTATGTCTCATATACAGAAAAGTTAGATTTTGCTTTGTAATTTCCATCTGTTTTTATTGTATTTTTTGTACATTTTATAGTTTTAAAAGTCACTCTGCTTGCTTTCTCTTTGTTTTTACTTATAGGTCTTATCTTTAGCCTCCCCTGCTTCTGTTGGATAAGTGTGGTAATTTGGTAGCTCTGCCATCACGGGTTTCTCCATTGTTTCTCATCTTCCTTTTTACATTATTGTGTCATCCTTATCTAGCTGTCTTGGTTTCCCTTACTTTTTTGCATACTTAACCTAGAATTTGTAGGGTTTTATTGTTTTTTTTTTTTTTTTGAATTTTTAGGCTCCTGGTTTCTCTGGAAATATAATTTTCTTTATATTTCACCCTACCCGTCTCCCTCACATTTTCCTTTTGCTTTATATGTCTTCCCTGAGGAGAATGGAAAGAATCAGATCTAAACTAACATCAGGCTTGTTAAGTTGCTGAGGTTGCCCTTGAACTTGAGATCCTTCTGCTTCGGCCTCCTGAGTCACAGGGATTACAGGTGTGTGCCCACCATGTCCAGGAACTTTTGTTGAAGTTTTAAAAGTAAATTCTTAACTAAATCTAAAGTCAGTCAGTACTTTCACTCTTTGAGCAGCTTCCACTTTACTGTTTTAATTGTTTTCAAACACAAATGACATTATCATCATCATTCAATACTAAGGGTAGGCAAATTTTTTTTTTTTTGTAAAGGGTTAGATGGCTTTGTGAGTCATGCTGCTGAACTCTGCTGCTCCAGCATGAAAGAAGCCACAGACAGTACATAAACAAAGAGCATGATTATTCTCATAAGATATTAAAGTTGCCTTATTTGGCCTTGGGCTTTGCTTTACTTTCCCCTGAGCCTGAGATAGAGCATATGCTTCTAGGTTCTTAGCAACCCTTGTCTAATTTAAATTAAAATTTGTTATGTGGTATTTTTGGACATTGTATGTTCTAGTTCATGGCCCAGAATTCTCAGGGGCAGCATATTTTTCCTCCATGTGGAACCAAGGGTGAAACAGATTATGTCTGTCTGCCTCTGCAGAGCAGATTTTAAAATCCTTGCATTTTTCATTGAGAGTGTAACTCTTCAGGGATCCTGTCAAAGCTCTCGAATCCAGTACCTGCATGGGCCCTTCGAATCTGTAGGCCACCTGATTGCTATATGCCTTCTTTACTGAATGTCATTTGCAATTCACAAAATACATTTCAGGCTTTTCATGTTTCCTTTATTGAATGACAGTTTCTTACAGCCATGAGAAATAGTCAACATAACATTGTCTAGAGATGGTTAGGAAGGCACAATAGATCTATTCTAACCTGCCATGAATGATGTTGACAGGTTGTTACCTGAGCGATTTATTTTTGGATAATCTGATAACAGAATGGCAATTTAAAGATGTTGCCAGAATAATTAAGTTTACTATACCATAGAAAAGTGCTGCTTTAGGGGATGATACTATACTAAGTAGGGTTACTTCAAATGTAAGTAGTGGGATAATTTGTCATTTTATTTATATGGTAAGTGCTTATTATACAGAGATATCCTTTTATCCTGTTTTTAGCAGGAGCTACTATATTGTGATGTTATTTTATTTTATCCTATTTTTCCTGACTGATTTTAATGGTATCAGCTACTCCAAAGTAAGTTGGATTTACTTTTAAATATCTTTATATGTTAAAAGCATTAAGAAAGCTAAGAACATAAGTATTTTTGTATTAAAGAAGGATATTTTAATCAGCATTGTAGTATATGTAATGAAAAGAAAGCTGAAATTATTGCTGAGTAATTCATGAAAACTGGGTATGTTAATTGACAGAAATTTACTCTGGATGATACTCTAAGGATAATGATCTTACTATTATGAAGCAGTTTTAGAGAGGGATAAACTTACAGTTAACATACCCCAAAATGATCACTTATTCAACTTTTAATAATACTGTAAATAATTGTGAAGTTTATCAGTTTTATACTTTGTATTATGAATTGCCTTTGAGATTTTGTCAAATTATTTCCAGAATATAGGAGCCATCTAAGTACTTTATCTTCAATTATCTTAGTGTGAGCATTAAACATTAACATTAAAAAATCCAAGATACTAGAGAATACTTATTGACGGTTGAGACTGTGGCTCTCAGTGGCTGTCTGTTAACGATTGACCTTACTGTTTCATGAGGATTAGGGTACCTGTCTAGTTCAGGAGTACCTTCAAACATTGGGTTGACATTGTAGCACAGAGGAACAAACATCTGGCTCCACCTGCTGTCAGACTTAGTGGGTAATGCACCTCAGTAAATGATGCATTGGGCATTTTCCCCT